TGTATAGCAGTGTCACAACATTCTGACACTCGATGACACTGGAATCCCCTGTCAGTGATGTCCAGCAGCTGAGAATGAGCTTTTTACAGTGTCTGCTAAAATTTTAATGTTGTTTTTGGTGTGTTCACATTGATGAATATGGCCACGGTGTAAATACACAGTACAATTACGATCTTATTGCCACATTAGATTGTTTTGATAACATAATATTTGCCTTCAGTGATTTCCTGAAGATTAATACCAAAAAATAACACAACAGGAATCACTCCAGCAGTCGCGATCGTCTGATCTCAAATGAAGCAAGAGATTGTGTTGACACATGATGACGTGTGCAGGTGCTGTAGTGCTGTTCCAGTTCTTAGGGGTAAATTTTGAAGCCCTTCCCCTTAACACTCGGTTGTAAGGGGAAGGGGAAGGGGTACAAAAATAGAATTGGTATCGGTGCATCCCTACTTGTTTTGGCAGCAGAGTTCAGACAATAGTGCTGTCTTGTCTAGTATGTTGTGCTCAGCTCCAGTTTTCTCAGGTCAAGTGCTCATTCCTGTCATTGTCTGTCTTGGTCTTTTCTATAAGCGCAATCATGATGCGGTTGTGTGAGGTCAGGGTGTGCGAGGGATGTGCGCTCTTGTCCTGGTGTTTCTGTTTGTTCTGTCTGCAGCGTGCTGTTTCATTCTCAGCGCCTCAGTCTAGGTCAGGGGTGGGCAAACTCGGTCCAGGAGGGCCGGTGTCCTGCACAGTTTAGCTCCAACTCTAATCAAACACACCTGCTTATAGATTTCTAGTGATCTTGAAGACACTGATTAGTTTGTTCAGGTGTGTTTGACTAGTGTTGAAACAAAACTCTGCAGGGACAAGTGGATCAAGTTTGCCCATCCCTGGTCTAGGTGGTTTCGCTTGGCGCTGGGATTGGAACATGCACGTTACATGTGTGAGTGCGCGGTAGGACTTTGTATTCATTGTGTACTCGAGTCTTGTGTCCTGTTGGTGTTTAGCACATGGCCTGGTGTTTACATTGTGGCTGCGTGCTTTAGTGTCGAGTTTCATGTGGTTAATGGTTTCTCTCATTGGCTGCGTGTTCTAGTCCTGTTTTTACGTGAGCACATGATGTGTGTTGTTTCTTTGTGTCATGTGCTCCTGTCTATTGTCTAGTCCCACTTGTTAACCCATTATTAGTTTATTCTGTTCATCTGTTTGTTTGTTAATGTGTCTGCTTATAGTCTCCTCATGTCTGCTGTCCTGCATCATTGTTCATCGTTGTTTATTCTACATTATCTAGTCTTGTTCCAGCCCTGATCCCTGACAGTCTGTCTAGTACAGTTTGTTTCTTTATTTGTGTTCAGTTATGTTTCCTCCTCTGGGTATTTTTTTTTTTTTTTTGCTTTTTGTTTTATTTTATAATTAATAATTATTAATTAATAAACCCATTTTCTAGTCTGCATTTGAGTCCTCACTCCTTTTTCACTCTTGAAACCTTGACATTAATGTTTTCATGCACTCTTTGTATGTTCAGTATTATTTTTCTGATTGTTGATTGTTTTCCAGTTGTTTCCAACATGAGCAGCACCAGTACAACAGTTACACCACAGACGACGAGCTCAGCTGGTAATGTAGTCTGATGATTCCTCTGTTGAGTGTGTTTTGACTGAGTGTGTGTTGGTCTGTAGAACTGAACATGTGTGAGTGTGTTTGTGTCTCTACATAAAGATGAAGGATTAAAGAGGATCTGAGATGTTCAGTTGCAGATCATTGCAGACATTTTCATGAACATCATTTCCATTTGATTTGTGTTATTATTGTGATCACTGTGATTTTCTCTCATTGCAGTTATAAATATCACGCTGCAGGAAGGATGTTCTGTAAGTTGAGTGTCTGAAATATACATTTAATAGTTTTGAGAGCTGTGCGATTATATTTGTGTTGCATGCATGTAATTTAACAATGATTGTGCGTTTCTATTGGTTTTGTTCAGAAGCTTACTTTGTTATTAATGTTGTAAAACATTATTGAGGACACAAGCTGAATTGTGATTTCAGAATCAGAGCTCTGGATGTCTAAAAAATCTTCTTGAGCAGATAGAGAACATTACAGCTCAAGAGCTTCCACTGAATGTAAGTCTTCAAGAGAAACAGAATAAAGTCAGTTCTGTTAGAGTCGACTGACAGCAGTTTTATCTTATTGTCTGTCTTTACATCCGTGTGTTTGATCATTAAATCAGACGGTGACCGACATTTTGACTGTGGTCTTCAACGCTTCAGAGAAGATTTCAGTGTCTTCATCATCAGCCAGTCCAGCTCAGCTAGCCTCATATGGAACTAAAGTGTTGAAAAGCAGCGAGAAACTCATTTCTACATTGGTGAAGCCGACAGAAACAAGTGCCAATGTCAGTTTTACTCTTGCAGCTGTAGGTAAGTGGAGACACTGTTATTATTGATGATGAACCTGAGATTATATATCAGAGACTCAAACACACCAGCTCAGACCTGCTCCTCTTTGACTCGCTCAAACTGAGCAACACTTGCAAATATAAGAAAATAAAAAAAATATTAGTTGAATCTGTGATGATATGAACTGTTGGTGTATTTGGCACCTCTCTACAAGAGTCCAACAGGGAAAAATACACACATACACAGTCTGTATACAGGCAAATAGGAGTTTAAAAATTAATCCTGTTACACACTGTTACCATTTTTATTAAGTGAATGGTTTTAGGGGTTAGATGATTCAAAGAATGTAAATGTGATTTGCTTTTGGCTGACTGAAGTCTGGTTGTGCGCTTCTGTCATGTGAAGCACCGCAGTGTGCAGGTACACGGACTGAGACAGCAGCACAGAGAGGATCATGTGTGTGAGTTGGATGTCTTTTGCTGAGAGCCAGACATTATGCCCAGGGTGGTGTTGAGGAGTTGAATATCACCCTGGCATGTTGTATTTTAGTGATCTTTGAAAATGAACATGAACTCTTTCCCAGACCCCCTCGCTCTTATGGTACCAGTGATTGAGTGCAGTGACATCTGACGGCTCCCATAGGCAGGGAAGGAGTGATGGTTTATACTCCAAACATGCACTAGAACAGGATTGAGCTTGTGGGCTCATGGCTGAGAAATAAGAGTTTATATAAGGCTGTCTGTACTCTGCCTAGGTTAGGCAATGGCTCCAGGTCTGCTGATGGTTTTAGCCAGAGGTATCTCCAAATGTCCTAGATCTTACACTCAGTCTGGTCATATTGAGAGAGATAACTGGAAAGTAAGCTTACTGAAACTGTGGAATTTGACAAAAACAGCTGGCCACAGTCTGGATATTAAACGGGACCCTCTGTTGGACACAAGATTTTCAAGAATCCCAAAATGGTGAAAGATTTATAGAAGAGAATCTCTGCTGTTTCCAGAGGAGTATGTTATCCAATGTCCAGAATGAGTTTGCAAGCTTATCAGCAACCATTCACATTTACCAGAACACAGCTTTTGCTATTGGTAGGTGTTTTTCAGGAATTGGACCAAGGTTAATGGGAAATACAGAACAGTTGTCAAGGAACCATGGAGACAGCACAGATGAACATACTTAGACATATAGAGGAACATCATGGGTCATAGTGGACCTCCAGTACCAGATAGAGATCATCAAGTATGCTGATTGCCTGGATCCAGATCCTGAAGATGTGTGCATGAGTCCATGAAGGTTGCACAAAAGATGCACAGTATGTAGAATATAGCATATGGAGCCACAGCAGAGCTGGTTTAGAAGTCCAGATCTGATCATTAATGGACCGTTGCATTGGATTGAGGGTGATATCTAGAGGTAGGATGGTTCAGGAGGTGCTACTTTAAGAAAAGGCAGCTTAACTTTTGGCAGGGCATCTGCTCGATGATTCTTGGTATCTGGTCAGTGTGTAAGAGTGGAGTTGAATCCTGAAGTGAAACTGAGGTTGAGTCTTTGCTTGACGAATGGATTCAAGATTTCTGAGATCCGTGATGACTTTGAGTTGGTGTTTGGCTCCATCTGTGTTCTAGCCTCTGTTATGACATAAACCACAAAAGTGGATGTATGGGAAATGAAGTTTTTACCAGCTTAAGGTACAGTTGGTGCATATTCAGCTTTCGGAGGACTTGCGTATCTTGATTACAATGTTCTGTTATCCTTTAGCAGTAAATCAACAGGACATTGATGTAAACCACAACAAAGTGCTTCAGGAACTCACTGAATGCTTTATTCATGTACCTTTGAAAGATTATCAATGGGTTGACCAGCCCATAGCATCAGCTGGTACTCCTAGACACTGGAGAGGTGTTCCTTAAATTCAGTTTTGTGAAGATTTGAGTTCTACAAAGCTGTTCTGGGTCAGCATAAAACATAAAAACTTTTAGTAATGCTTGATGTTTGACTTTGGGTTTCTGTAATTGACTCAAAGTACAAAGAATGCTTTGTTCAATACCTATCCAATATACAGAATATACACTGAGTAACTTGTGTTGCCTCAGGCAGTAGCTCAATGTCAATGTGGTGAATGATTGGTTTCCTGCTGCTTAATGAACATCCTAAAATGGCCTGTACTCATGGGGAACATCCACTTCTAGATGAGTTTTGGGTCTTCTTACACATTTGAAGTTGATTTCTAAGAAATCATTTTTTGATGAGGATTTTAAGCGTAGAAGGAAATTTTCATGCACTTCATTGGTGTGACTGGCTCAGTGACGTAGTGTTATATTATTTAATCATTTGATTTAGAAATCTATGAAATGGTAAAGTAAATTAGCATAACGTCATGTTTGTTTGTAATTAGAGGGACAAGTCTTCATGGTTGGACCACAGGTGACCTTAGATAAAATCCCTCAACTTGACACAACAAATTCTTCTGTAGACATCGATCTTATTGGCATCGCCAAGAACAACAATAACAGTGAGTTAAATGTTTGCTGTAATTTTTTTTATGTATAATGAAACCTCATTTCACCACCACTAAACCACATTTACTCTTTTGACTTTATTTTTATAAAGTGTAGCTTATAAGCCTGTTTCTGTCCCACAGGATCTGCTGTGGCTTTCATGAGCTACACCACAATGGAGAATCTACTGAAGGCCGACTTCTTCAACACAACTAATGACACCATTAAAACCATGATGTCCACTGTGATCTCAGCTACTCTTCCCAAAACCAGCAACACTGCACTCACCAAAGCAGTCAACTTCACCTTCAGACACATCAGAGTGAGAGACTGAAATGTGTTTTAGTCCAACATCAGCACTGATCAACATCTGAACACATCTAATATTCACTCTGCTCATGTTTTCTGCTTGTTTCTTCTTCTTCTTGCAGGAGTTTGACCCCAGCGGTTCTCTGTCCTGTGTGTACTGGAATATCAGCGAGTGGATTGTAGATGGTTGTTCTGTGTTAAACAGCAACAGCAGCCACACTGTGTGTTCCTGTGTTCATCTGTCCACATTCGCTCTCATCATGCAGACCAGCAGCAGTCCACCACCGGTACCAGAACATTTCTAGAGAGCATTGAAGAGCAGCACAGATCTGGCACTCATGTTCTCTGCATGTTTTCTCAGAGCGATCTGCTGGAGCTGCTGGATCTGGTGTGTGTGATCGTGGGTCTGGTGTTCTTCAGTTTGGCTCTGTTGTCCTTTGCTCTTTGTCAGTGGAGTCCTGGAGTCAATAATGTGGCTCGAATCAACATCTGCATCAGTCTGCTGTCGGCTCACCTTCTGTTTCTGCTCACACAACAGTTCCTGAGCCTCATTCGCCCTCAGCAGGTGAGAATGATGAAGGAGCTCTACAGCTCAGCACAGCCGCACTGAGAATCATCATAACCCTCTCTCATGCTCTCCAGGTGTTGTGTGTGGCGATAGCAGGCCTTCTGCACTTCCTCTTCCTCTCCGCCTTTGTGTGGATGTTCATTGAAGCTGTGCTGCTCTTCATCTGTGTCAAAAACCTGTCACAGATCAGCTCCAAAAAGAGGGAGGTGCTTAGCAGTGGGTTCCTGTGTGTGATTGGATATGTGCTTGCTATGGTTGTGGTGTGTGTGTCTATTGGGCTGGTTCCAGAAGGATACGGCAGTGAACAGTGAGTTGGTGTTGTTTATTTGTTAATTTGATTATAAGCTCAGGGCTGTTTTCTGCTGCCTGATAAGTCTGCATTTCTTTTCAGGTCGTAACAACGTCACACACAAGATTAAAATCTGTAACTGCTATATTCTGTTTGATAAATGTATTTAATTATCATAATATTGTGCTTTCCTCTAATCAGTTGCTGGATTAAAACAGATGAAGGGTTTATCTGGAGTTTTCTGGGTCCTGTTTGTGTCATACTAGCAGTAAGTTTGAGCATTTAACACAGCTTATAAATGTATATAAAAGCTAAAGTTATCATTTCTTCTTTCTTTCTGCAGTTAAACTTGATTCTCTTCATTAAAATCGTCATCACTCTGAACTCGACTCTCAAAAATCTCAATGCTGAAGTCTCACAGATGAAGCAAACCAAGTAAAAACCTGTTTTGTCACTATTGGAAATAACACAGGCGATTAATAATTAAACAAAGCTCTAACCTAGACAGTTTACACATCACTGTAAATGTTTACTTAAGTTTTATATAATAAACAAGAATGTTCTTTGGCACTCTACAGGGTTATGGTGTTTAAAACACTGGGTCAGTTTGTGGTTCTTGGTTGTCCTTGGATTCTGGGTTTCTTCACTAATAGCAGTGAGGTGCTGGAGATCGTCTTCCTGGTCTTGAACTCTCAGCAGGGAACCTTCATCTTCCTGATCTACTGTGTGCTCAATAATGAGGTCAGACATTTACTCAATTTGAGCCTCTACTGTCTGCTGTCTTGCTATCTTGACATCTCTTCAGTGCTGCCCCTGAATTAAAATCTTCTAAAGCCTGGTTTATACTTCTGCGTCACATGACCGGCGTAACTCACAGCGCATGCATAGCTGTGCATTTATACTTCTGCTGCTGTCTCTGTTGGTCTGCATTAACACTTCCGAAACGCTAGTTGGCAGTGAGGTGTAAATGTTCCTCTGTGTCGAGTTTCTTCGCTGCTGTTTTGCTTTTCTTGAACTCTTCCGGGATGTACAAGTGGCTCAAACTCGCTCATTTTGAGGCAGCAACCGGCGGACGTGCAGCAACTTTAACTATGAGGTAAACACAAAACAAAACTTTCCATCCGGAGCTCCTTCACGGGACTCAACACTTGTAAACATTCGCTCCATTGGGCTAGCGCCAATCGCGCGGCTCTCGGTCCCGCCCAGACTCGTCAGCGCTACCAAGCCGACCAATCACAGAGCTTGCGCTACGAGTCGTTGCGACGTGTAGTTAAGTTTTTTGAGAGGTGCACGTCAGTGACGCCAACGGCCACGGCAAAGGGCTATGCATCAACGCCGTGGCATACATGTGCGTTTAACGCAGAAGTATAAATCAGCCTTAAGAGTCCTTTCTCTCAAGGAGTCCCTCAAGGCTGTGTTGTTGGTCCCCTTCAGTTTATTACTTGTTAGTAGGCCCACACGGAATCTGTGTGCGCAGAAATCTGCAGATTTTCAGCCCATTGTTGACTCTATTTATTTACTTGCGTATATGTGTGTAAATTTATAGTTATTCAGTTTTTAAATGAATTACAGTAATATTACTGACTAACATAAAAATGTTCACATGATTTATTTACAATATAGTTTGTAAAGTTATATTTTCTGTCTTTTAGTAGAGATGTAATATGAGAGACTTGCTTTGTTTACCAAATAAGTGGATCTAGATGGATTTGCATTATAAACATTAAATACTAGTTAAAATTAATTATTTTTAATGTTGTATACTAAGTTTTTAGTAATAATACTCCCAAAATCTTTCCGCATAAATCAGCAGTTTCTTGACAATATTCTGCACAGAAATAGCAAAAAATGTCCGCATGTTCTGTCTGGCCCTATACTAAATAGTAATCCATCGACCATATCATGTTTCATGAACTCAGTCATGCTGATAGTTGCTTTGCTTTTTCATGTATTACTGCATGTAATTGATAATGCATGTATTGCTGACATCTGATTGCAAATTCAAGTTCTGAAATTATTGATTATAAAATTGAGGTTTCTGTGTTCACCAGACCTTTAAAAAATACCTGAACTGAGTGTTTCTCTGTGTTTAAACACACACACATGATGCCTTTTCTTTATATTTTTTTCAGTTTTTGTCTGTCTTCTTATCACTTTTCTTTGTCTGACTCTGTTAATCTGTTTAACGTTCACTGTTCATCAATCTGATCATTTCAGAGGTTAAATTGATCTCCAAAACTCACTCAGCTTTCCTTCTCCCCAGATCAGGCAACAGTACAAGAACTGCTTCACATGTCTTTGCTCTGGACATGGTATCAAGTGCAACAAATAAAACCAACACTATTTTACAGGTTATTTTATATGATACAGACTTTTTATGTTTATTGTAAAATGTCTGGCATTAACTATCATGTCATCTGGGTTATTGCTGGTGAATGAAAAGCATATTGTTGCAGATTGTTAATAATATAGCATGGCTGATTGTTGTTATATAATAAATTTGTAAATGGTTATTAAAATAATTAAATATTTTCAGTTAAATGTAGGTAATTGTCTAAAAACATTTAAGCTTATGGTAAAGGGAAATAACATGAGTTTGCGTCATATGTAATCAGATGATGAGTTGTGAAGTTCTTTATTTACTGATCTTGCATTATTATATTTTGTTTGTTGAGCTCAGAATGCTGATTGTGATCATTTCACATTTTAAATATTGATGTGCGTCATACAATGTCATGTAAATGAGTGAATATATTTAAGCAGGGAGGCCACATGTTTTCATTTTCATAGTGTTATACATTAAAAGTTAAGCTGTAAAAAGGTTTCATAAAATATATTTGCATGTCAAGCTCGAAAGCTGTCACAGAAAAAACGAATGTTTCATCCACAAGGACTGTTTTATATTTTGACAGGAATATTTGCAACATGGGTGGCTCAGTGGTTAGCACTGTTGCCTCACAGCAAGAAAGTCACTGGTTCTCGTCCCGGCTAGGCCAGTAGTCATTTCTGTGTTGAGTTTGCATGTTCTCCCCATGATACGTGGGTTTTCTCTGAGTGCTCCGATTTCCCCCGGAGTCGTCCTTGGAAAATTGGATAAACTCAATTTAAACTCAAATCAGTGGCCTTCTTGCCGTGTGGCGACAATGCTAACCGCATAGCCACCGTGCTGCCATGCATTAAAGCATGTGAATGATTAATTTTCCTTTTCATTCAGATCTTTTTGGTGTAGTTTCAAGGTCTTAATAAACAATATGATATTGTAGCTGTGTTTGTGAAGGCCTTTGTAAGTTTACTGTTTACTTTGAATAAAAATTTGAATTCAAGGAAACGGTGTATACGAGCTCATATTTCGTCGTCATGGATGATGGAGCGATAACTTAACGGTAAACATCACAACACACAAATATTTACTTTGTTAGGTAGTCAACTGTTTCAGGTGAAGACCACTGTGTTTCAGCTCACAGTACATCAGGTAAGATCTTTCCGCTCTTAATGAAGATGTTGAATCATGTAAGTCATGCCAGGATTGTGAGATTTGGGTGTAATTAATTTGGGCTTAGACCAGGTCAGGACTGTTTAATTTAAATTTAAAAATGTTTTGTTTCTGTGAGAAATTGGCTCAGGGTTGGGGCAGAGGGACAGAGTTTACAGTGTGTGCAGTATAAAAACATTTATGCAAGTAGAACTCCTACGGGGATTGTAAAACCTACTTGTCTGTGTGAAAAAAATTTAAAACAAACCTTTATTTATTTATTTATTTATTTTTTGTATGTTTGGTGATTGGTTTTGCATTATAGCCAGTCCTAATTAAATTTTTTTCTCTGAACTGTGAAGGAAACTCCTTTTCTGGACTGATTAGTGGATAAAAAGAAACACATCTGTCATAGATGACAATGACCGACATAATTCTGCATAAAAGTAAGATTGTTTCTTATCACTCTGCTGAGTTTATATAATGAATGAAGATTTCACATTGTCAAACTGCAGTACAAATCACTACAGAATCATTTGTGTTTTTCATATTTCAGGGTTTCTAAAAGCACCGAGTACCATCTCTGTCATAATGCGTACGTATAACATTTTCATGCATGTTGATCGATCTCACACACACGTTTACTATTTAAATGCAGTAAAATTTTCTATGTGATGCATGAATAAGTGTCTTTGAGTCAGAGCTACAGTAACACAATCTGTATTTGCTTTGGACATAAGTCACTTGGAGAAAATATTTAAATGAAACTCATTGTAACTGCTTTGAAAGCTCAAGTGTATCAGTGGCTCATTTATTTGCATTGATAAAAGTACAACTTTAGTGTGTTGGTGATTTGTGAAAAGCAAACACTCAACTACTTAAAGGGAACCTATTATGCAAAAGTCTGTTTTATAAGGCAAGTAAACAGTTGTGTGGCAGCAGTGTGTGAATAAGCAGCTTCTACTGGTAAACATATATTAATTTTTTATAATCAGACTTGATAAAAACAGTCTGCAGAAACACTTTGATTGACATTCTCCCTTTGTACGTGTCATCAGAGGGGGAAGCCCCGCCCATTAGTGACCATCTTTCCCTCATTAGCATAGTATGTCAGTCTTGTTTTTAAATCTGCCACTATGCTGACTCACAGGCATTTGTGGCTCCGCCTTCTTTTGAAGAGAGCACAATCTCATTTGAATTTACGTGAAGTTTATTTATAAAATAATTTCGAGAGGATCACATGCTTATAGCCGCTTTTCCACTATTGTGCTGAATACTGTTTTTTATGCTGAATCGTTCCATTTCGTGCCAAACCGGGCAGGACAGGATACGGTCAAAGAGCTTAGAATGACCGAAAGGCTGCACTCAATAGAATGTTCCAGTGCAACAGCAGCGCCCAGCAACAGCCCCGGATTCCACCTGTTTGGAGTTAAAGCGGTCGGATCTCCATTGGGTCCTATTGCTGTCGCAATGGCAAGCAGCTGCTTTATTTATCTATTTAAAAAGCGCATTAAAGCTGAGATACAATCTGACAGATGACAATGAAGCACTTTCTATCACAATCATCAGCACTTTTAATAGTTTATTTTACAGACTTATAATATGCTGTTGTTCTGTTGGAATTTTCATTCCAAAGTGGCTGCCGTGCCATCTAGCGGCTGTTTCCCAAATTACGCTGGAGTTTCGCCTCTTGGTAATTCTAAGCTCTTTGATACGGTTTAATTTTCCACTGTTGTGCTGCAATAAATCTCTTTGGTTTTGGTTTAAATCCTTTGGTTTTCCTTTGTATAGCTACCCAATCTAGCCAACACCAATCACCAACAATCTATCTCAATACAACGTTTAACTTTTTATTTAAAAAAGTAATTTTCACTCTATTTAACGTAATGCTTTAATTATTTTCCTTACAATCACATTTGTTTAAAAGTGCTCCATGTATTTACTGCTGAGGACACCAACCTGAACCGATTGTTGTGCATAGATTTATATTATTATACTTTTTAAATCCTTTAAAATATTTGGAAAAAAAATTTATGGTGGAAAAAAAGTGTATGGATACAAATACAGAAATGATGGTTTTACACAATATTTAAAATATTTTACGAAGAAATATCTAAAATATTCTATATTTACTATTCATTGTTTATTATTGTATTATTAAATACGATTTTTTTCTTGATAAGGCAAATAAAAATCTTTTCCATCTGGGCCATTTGAAAAATTGCAATCATAATGGTCTTAAAAATATTTTTAAGTTTTAAAATTTACTTGGTGAAATTTGCTGAAACCCTGTTGTAGAATAGAGAGGAAATTCCATAATAGGGTGAGAAAAGATGATGAGAAATATTTGCATGAGCTGTTAAATAAAAGCCTGAATGTCTATTCACTTAATGGTAACCTTTTTAATTTAATTTTTTTCAGAAGATTCCACACTTATCTTGGCCTTTCTAATGGTTACACCAGTGATGAGCACGGCTGGTAATGTACTATACTGTTGTCTGCTGTGTTTTAACTGAATAGAGATGTAATGCTCCACTGCTTTATCTTGTTTTTCTCAATAATTCCTGCTGTTTCAGTAACTCTGATTGACAGTTTTCTGAGCACCTCATGTCTGATCCCTCCATTACTGACACAATGAATATTGTCTATATTTAAATATTGAATACCGTCATTATTGTGCAATCATTGGTTAGTTGTTGAGGCAGAGCACAGTGTCAGGATTACAGGAGTTTAGACTTCTAGTAGTAGCAAAATAATTATTAATAGTTAAAAAAAGAAATTGTTACCATTAGGAAATAAGTGTATTTAGAATTTCAGCTTATAATATATATCTGTAATTATCTTAATTGTATTAGCGTCTTATAACTTGAATATAATATGTATAATAGGAAAGACATTATACTGTATAATAATACTGTAAATGAATAATTGTTCTTCATCTAAAGCCTGTGCATATCTACAAGAACAAGTATATGGGGAACACTTAATTATATATTTTATATTTTTAAAGTATGAATATCTTTTTTTAAAGTGATTTTCTAATAAGCTGATATTTTATTAGACATAAATAGATATTCTTGCTACAACATTTTTTTGGTAAATGTTCTTTTTGACAGCCACCCAGAGGATATTCATTAAATATTTTTGTCTTTTTAACCATTTCTCTGGTATATATTCACTAAATAAAATCAATGTGCATCACAGATTTAAAGATATCTTGAAACAGAGAAGTCCCAAAAAAGGTGATAATGATTTGCATTAGGGATGTGCACATCAATGCTCGAGTATCGATATATTGATACTTAGAAGCTTCTAATTTGGTATTGATATATTTTAAGTATCAATATTTCAACTATATTTTTAATATTTTCTGAATACCTGGGGTCCGTTCTTCGTACCTCGCTTAAATGATCTAAGATGATTTGGCAGATCCTGGATCTTTTAATCTTGATAACTGATCTCTCGCTAATTTGGTTCTTCAAACAAGTTCGCGAATCAGATTATAATGTCTGAATAAACTGATCTGAGATCGCTGCGTGTGTTGTGAAGGACAGATCTATCGATCCTAGAAATCATGATCAGCAATGCCATGATTGGCTGACGGCACAGCAGCGTAATGACATCATCTGATTAATATTCAATTATTCATGTGAGCAAAATTACATCAAATTAGCAGTAAACCGTTTGTTAAATATGACACGCAAGAACTTTCCACATTTGTTGTGAGCTGCAGGCTTTACACTTTCATGTGTCAAGAGTATTCATCATGTGTTTCAGTGCATATCAATGTATTTAGTTCCACATTTAGAAAAGATTTTCTTTATTATAGTAGCCGTTTTTTAATCGGTGTAAACAATAACTGGATGTTTACAAAAGCATTTTGATATTGGTAAAGGCATCTGCAACTTTCGTGAAGCATCAAATCACTATTAACTATCAAAACATGTTTACGACTGCATAAATGTATTATTTATTTTTTTATGTTGTACATTTCTATTATCATACACAAATTGTACTAAAGCAATCTAAAAAGTTCATATCAATAAGTTTTCTCTTTGCACCACGAGGTGGCAGTCTTTGTACTTTCATTTTGAGGGTGCAGATTGCATACGTTTTATTAATATGTATAACTTTATTTATTTTATTAATAACTATAAATTTATATATATATATATATATATATATATATATATATATATATATATATATATATATATATATATATATATATATATATATATATATATATATATATATATATATATATATATATATATATATATATTAAAAATATTTACTATTTTCCCAAGTGTATATAACTACTACTGTAAGAAAATATCAGAATTCGGTTAATACTTTACATATTTTCTTAGCTTGAACTGAGCCGATCTAATCCTGTTTATATGAATTGAACCTGCTCCTGATCAGGTTTGAG